AACGTTTGCGGTCCCGAATCACACCCTCTTGCCACACATACCATGAAGCGGCAATCGCGAAAATCAGGAGGAAGAGGATGAACAACAAAGCTTCAACGTTGTTGGCAGAGACGCGTTCAGTCGAGTAGATCATGGTCCGGACGAGGCTACCCTGGCTAGTTTCGAAACCGGTCTTCACAACCACACCCAAAGCACCATTATCTGGGGGCATAGTAACGTTGCTGGACAAGTTCTTCAAACTCGAGTCGGCAGTCAGGTTAGGGTGGGTAACTTGTAGGACCTTGGTACCTCCGTGCACAAACGATAGTTTATCCAATCCATCCGGTTCAATCAAGTCACCGCCGGGACGGAGCTGGACGGAGTCTTTCAGAAGAGGTGTGCTCTCGCCAGAAAGCATAGCCTCGTTCACAATGACACTACCTTCAACCAGAAGGATATCGCAGGCAACGCCGCTGTCCTCCTTGGTGCGGTTCACTGACATGAGATCACCGGGAAGAAGCTTATCACTGGTGATCTCCTGCCATTTGCGTTCACGGTATACCCAGACATCGTAAGGCTTGATACTCATTCCACGGAACTCGCTCAAAGTCCTCTGGCGCTGCCACACAACGGTGCTCTCAAACATAACGAGCATGAATAGCGTGAAGAGTGAGTAGTACCAGTATTCATCCAACATCCACAATCCAACACAGAAAATCTGGAAGACGAAGAACGGCGCGACAGCGTGCTCCTGGAAGAGCTCAATGAAACCGGGAACGGGGATGTCGAAGGTGTTATCGCCATAGTGATGGTGGACGCGGTCAATTTCGGCCTTCGACGTGAAGCCCTCGCTCAGCTGGAAAGTCTCGAGGGTCGGCTTTGGTTCGGCGTCAAGGACGTAAGACAAGGGCGCGAAGGTGCGAGTGTCGGGATAAAATAGGAAGCGGCGCTTCTGGAAGAGGAACGAAAGGGCCTTCTTCGTGCCGGTGTGCTCATTAATCAACTTGCAGATCTCGGCAGAGCCAGCGTTAGTGATGGGAACCACTTTGATAAGCCGGGCAGTGTCCACGGATTTGGCTCGAGTAGTAGTGAATAGGGTGTTGATATCGATGTTCCACTTGGTCATCAACCAAAAGAGCGACTGGATTGTGATGATAGACCCCGCGAACACGAAGGTCCATTCCTGTCCCTGAATGTAGGTGTCATAACGCTCGGGGGAGAGGTAGAAGGCGAAGAACACGGGCCAGATGATCAGGAAAGGCCAAATGTATGTGTGCAATTGCCAAGGGATCGGGTTATGCAACGAGGCAGTATGGATCTGAGGGTCGTCCACGAGCTTTGCCCTGTATACTGTTAGTTGCAGCCGCAAAGAATCGGGGGGAGGTTCTGGTAACGCACATGGTGGCAATCTAGTGACCGCGGTCAGAGTCAAACAGCCAGAAAATTAAAGACTCATACGAAGCCGGAAAGCAATGATAGGATCCAATCGAGGAAATGCCCAGGTTTGTAGATGAAGCCACCTTCCACCTTACAATTTTGGTTCCAGAGGATTCGCCGCTCGATGCGCTAACATTATGTCAGCCAGCAGCCCGGACGATTTGCTTATGTGAGTTTTATCACTCCCTTCTCAACTTCCCAACAGCCCAGCCGGGCTAGCTCAATCGGTAGAGCGTAAGACTCTTAATCTTAAGGCTGCGGGTTCGACCCCCGCGTTCGGCTATTCCTAAAAACCAAACCTGAGATTTCTTTTTTTCGCTCTTTTCCTTTTTCGTCATGGGTGGTGATTGGGCTTTTGGATATGGAATATGACTTTTGGGTATAGAGCTTAGATAAATACAAACACAATCACGTATCAACTCTCAATATATATAG